TGGCATGTCATGCTTGAGACTGCTCGAAAGTCTTCGTCTTCGCATCGCATTGGCGACCCCTTGAGCGGGGAAGAGTTAGGATTCGGATCTTTTTCATTGGATAAGCTTGGGTGTCTCGACCACCCCAAAAGACTGAAGTGATCGGTTCATCAGCCATGAATCCTTTGGAGTGCTCACCCGGGGTGGTCGTTCAGATCCCAAGACTCGTTGGTCTCTCGTTGGCGTTCGAGTTGAACGGAGCAGGGACTCACTGCTGGTCCAGTCTTCGAGCGTGTTGACGCTTCGATCAGGGCGTAGGAAGCGGGTTAATAACCCCCCCCCCCACGTGGAAGGTCTAGAAGGTCTGAGGTACCATTCATGAGGCCCACCTCCCCTGAATAATCTGCTAAGGGAGTAGTCGTAGTCGTAGTAGTCGTCCTGTATAGCAGCAGCAGCAGTAGTAGTAGCAGTATAGCAGTAGTAGCAGGTAGCAGGTTTTAGATAGTAGGTAGTAGGCAGGTAGTAGTAAGCAGTAGTAAGCAGTAGTAAGTAGTAAGCAGTAAGTAGCAAGTAGTACGTAGTAGGTAGTGGTAGTGGTAGTGGTAGTGGTGGTGGTAGTCGTAGTAGTAGTAGTAGTAGTAGTAGTAGTAGTAAGTAGAGGTAGCAAGTAGAGGTAGTAGGTAGTAGGTAGTGGGTAGTGGGAGTGGGAGTGGGAGTGGAAGTGGTAGTGGTAGTGGTAGTGGTAGTCGTAGTAGTAGTAGATAGTAGGTAGTAGGTAGTAGGTAGATAGTAGGTGGTAGATAGTAGGTAGTAGGTGGTAGTAGGTGGTAGTAGGTAGTAGGTGGTAGTAGGTAGTAGGTAGTAGGTAGTAGTAGGTAGTAGTAGGTAGTAGGTAGTAGGTAGTAGGTAGTAGGTAGGTAGTAGGTAGTAGGTAGTAGGTAGTAGGTAGTAGGGAGTAGGAGTAGGTAGTAGGTAGTAGGTAGTAGGTAGTAGGTAGTAGGGAGTAGGAGTAGGTAGTAGGTAGTAGGTAGTAGGTAGTAGGTAGTAG